TTAAATGCAATTGCTGTAATTATAGTTGCTTGTCCCCAGCATTTCCAAATTTCTGACTTTTTTCTACATGTTCTTATTTTTTTATATTTAATTAAAATTACATATGTTTATGATTTAAGACTGACGGTTATAGGTATACAATCTTACAAAAGACATTTGCAAGTGAAATCCAGTTTTTCTCCTATGAATTTTCAACATTTTGTCTACTAAGTAGCAATGGCACTTAGACTTATATACCGCTTTACAGTGATATACAGCCGTCTCTAAGCAGTTTGCAGAGTTAGCATTTTGCCCCCAACAATCTGGGTCCTCATTTTCCTGACCTCAGAAGGATGGAAGGTTGAGTCAATCTTGAACTGATGAGACTCAAACTACCAAACTGCAGGCAGCATGTAGTACTGCATTCTCACCTTTGTACTTCCACAGCTCCTTGTATTTTATAGAATACCAATACACATATTAGAAAAATTAATATGTATATTACTTTTGTATGCTGAAATAAATTCCATTAATCATCAGTCTAATGATCAATAATCATTCTCAGGACTTAAGTTGCAAAATATTTTTTCAGTGCTTCCTTGACATCCTGATTCCTTAAACAATAAATGCATGGATTCAGCATGGGCGTAACAATGGTGTACACAACAGACACAAGCTTATTCATGTTAAAAGAATGGATTCTCCTTGGTCTTGCATACATGAAGAGTGTAGCTGAGTAGAAGATAATAACCACTGTGAGGTGGGAGGCACAGGTAGAAAAAGCTTTTCTTTTTCCTTGGTATGTAGGGATATGCAAAACGGCACCTATAATAAATGCATAGGAGCCCATTGTGACAGAGAGTGGAATTAAAAGGATAAGAAGAGCAAATACAAAGTCAACCATTTCAGCCACAGTGCGGTCAGTACAGGAGAGATTAAGTAAAGGGGAAATGTCACAGAAGAAGTGGTTGATGATGTTGGGCCCACAAAAATTTAAACGTGAAATGAAAAAAAATTTGAGCATAGAAATTAGGAAACCAGTGAACCAGGAACCCACTGCTAGCTGCAAGCAAACCTGGGATGTCATGATAACAGGATAGCGCAATGGGTGGCAGATGGCAACATAACGATCATAAGCCATGACAGCCAGCAGGACACATTCAGTGCAGGCTAGAGATATGAAGAAATACAGCTGAACCATGCAGCCTGAATAGGAAATGCTTTTATCTGTTGCCAAGAAGTTAATCAGGAGTTTTGGAACAGTCACAGAAATATACCAAGTCTCAAGGAAAGACAAGTGGCTGAGGAAGAGATACATGGGTTTTTGGAGGTGAGTATTTGTCCTGGTGAGGATGATTATCATAGTGTTCTCCACAAGAGTGACGATATAGATACAAAGAAATACTACAAATAATAGTCTCTGAAGTTCTAGAACTGTGGGAAAACCCAGGAGGATAAACATCTGGACCCTGGTTTGGTTGTTCACTTCCATGCCTCATACACCAATCTGCAGGATCAAAGGATAACTGAAACATGATAAATTTACAAGATAAATGAAAACATTTTAGGAAGAGAGCTTTGTAAATATATGGTGGGGGGAAAGCCAGGATATATGAAAAGATGAATGGAAATATTAATATTAATAAATGCAGCAAAAGTTTCTTGCAGTTCTTCATCTCAGAGTTTGCTAAATATTCAAAATTTGGATAATGCTGTTTCTGGATTCCTGAAAAGGCAATGTTTTACACAATGAAACAATAATCAGTACATAAATTATACAATCAGAAATACTAATTATAATTAAGAAGCCAAATACACTTTTAAATGTGAGGGTATCCTACACTGCCATCCCAACCTGTTACAGTGTCTGCTAACAAACAGTTGCTCAGTTGCAGCTGTCAAATCTATTACTATTTTTTTTTCATTTTTTGATTGAAAAAATGTTAATTTTAAAATGTGTTTAAAATTTTAAACACAGAATTTCCTTTCGTTTGTATCATTTATATTGATTTTTAAATAAGAAATCCAGTGTAAAACATGCACATATACAGAAACACACAGACACACACACACAGACACACACACACATACACACACATACAGACAAACACACACAAACACTGGGCTTCTCTGTGAAATGCTTATGGTCAATTGTTTACATTTTTATTCAGGTTTTTGAATAGCTACTTTTCCTCACTCTATCCTACTTCTACAATTACAATTCTGAACTCCTTGGATTAGTAATATACAAAATATTACATATTGTAGCTGCCTTAAGTTATTTATAATAGAACATGGAACAAACATAAGGCAGATAGGAAGGAAGGAAGGAAGAATTTTTTATATTAGAACACTTAATGAACTTCAGAAAAAAATGTGAATGATTGTGTGTGTACATATCTTTTTCAACCATCTATATTTATATCACCTCTAATAGCCAAGTTATCTACTATGTAAAATAAAATAAATGTAGCAATAATTATGTAAAAATAAAAATAATTAAGAAAGAGGAAAATGCAAAGATTTAAATTAAATATAAATCATTAGAAGGATGAAAATCAATTAAGTTCTAACATGCAGATATTATATTCTGCTATGTCAATGTTACAAGGAAAACGTTGAAATTAATCTTACCTTCTTTTCATTCATTTGCATGACATATTTAAGATTAAGCAACAGATATGTCTTGTTCCCAATCAAATAAATAAAATATAAATCAGGAGGAAAAGTAAATATGCAATATCTAAAATATAATTTATTGGTTTCCCATGAATAATACAAAGTGACTTAAGGAAATAAAAATGTACTAACCATATTAAGAGGAGATGAATTCAGCATACATATATGAATAAATTTCCCTGCCCTAGAATTTACTTTTAAAAATATGATCAGGGAAAGAAAATAAAGTTCATCAGAAATAAGAAAATTGCAAGATTATAACTTGTAAGTTACTTTTAATGCAGTTCTTTTTTTTGCTCAGCAAGATCCTTAATTTATATTTATTCACCCTAGTTCATATGTCAAATGTCTCCTTAGTATAGATATGGTTCGGCATCACAGCATAACACATTTGTAAAGATAATTTTTGAAGTCTCAACAGAGACTTTAACCCTCAGACTTCCTTACTCAATCAAATATAGTTTTACATAAGTTCTTTAAAAATATTGCATTAAAGTTTGTATTGCTCAATCCTCTTAGTGTGTTATAAAAAGCAGATTAACCAATGCAAAACTAATTCATTGGCATCCATTCCACAATTATCAGTTAGCTAGTTGATGGCTAGCTTCCTCTTGTTTTTTTTGCAAGGGTGACATCTATACCCAACCAAGGGTATGTACTCACCATGTTCACTTTATCATAGAAAATGAAAAACTAACCAAGAGGAAAGGGAGAAGGAGAGAGTGACATTGAATGTGGAATTGGGTGTCTACTGAGACACTGTAGAAGCAAGAGTAACTCAATAGGTCTGCTAGGATCAAAGATCATGAAAATCTATCACAATTTTTCTTTATTCCTACCTGGAATTTGGCTTGGGAGCTTAACTTGATGCTCAGCAGGAATCCTGCTTGAAGCTCGACATGAGCTTGCCAACTGTTCTGTCCTACAGCTTGATATAATATAACATATTATCAAGATGAAGCTGTACAATATCCCCATGTGTGGGCAAGAAACTCTGCAGGGAAGAAGAACTAAATGTCCTTTTAATATGTAACATTTTAAAGAGGCAGGGAAAAATTGAATAAGTCAAAGATCAAGGACTTAGTTTCATGAATAGACCCGCCCTAATAATTGGAAAGCTGAACTTAACCATGTAGATAGGACAACAGCAAAAAAAAAAAAAAAAAAAAAACCCAACTATGAAGTGCTATAAAGTCTTGTGCATAGCTTTCATCCAGTTCGTGGGATGTGTCCAATTATAATAAGAACCCCGATAAAACTTTTCAACCTAGTCAGTGTTTAGAATAAATAGCATCCTTTTTTTTTCTGGCATTTAACAGGTCAAATTTACAAGAATCCAGTTTTAGGTAGCTTGCCTATAACTGCTCATAGCATCCAGAGTCTTAAAAATAGGAATAAATTTAGAGGATAGTATTTTTCAGGAAAATTTTCCACCATATTGTGCTTTTTTTCTTAATGTAAAAATTGTCAGGTGAAACAGGAAAACTAGCCATCACTAAGAGTGTTAAGAGCTTGCTTGTGTGTATGAGCATGTTTCTGTCTCACAGGATTCGTATGATGAGTATATCGGAACATATTACATATTGCCTGAAATGAAGTTCCATTAGCTTCACAAGTAGGAGAAGGAGGGAAATGTTAAAGCAACATTCTAGTGAAGTTAGCTTCATTACTTGTGATCTATATTTCTGCTCTTTCTAGTTGATAAAAACCTACAGTTGGCCAATGGCCAATGCATAAAAATAGTGATTGTGAGAAGGGGTGGTCCCTCCTGCTTTGAAGAAAGGGCTTATTTCCTATCCCTCAAGAAGTCATATGCTGACTCTATCACTTTGGAAATCTATTAGCATTGGTCAACCTGCCCATTGTAGAAGCACTAAATTCAAATGATAGCAGTAAAAATAGGAGAGATTAAAATAAATGATTCACTTTATATGCTTTTCTATATAAGAGAATGCAAAAAGAGAAACATATCCCAATCCTCATCAGAGAAGCTGTTGAGCGTGAACGGAAACGTCCAAACGCCATCTTATTTGGTCTAGAGGGCATCAATGATAATGATGATATCACAACTGTCCGAATCATCACCAGTGATTATCAAGCATCAACCATCTCCCCTGATGAAATACTTGACATTTCCCGCATTGGCCGAGAGCTCAAAAACAGTGACAGCTCTGTGACCCCACGCTTCTGCAGGGTCATTTGCAAAAATGAATCAAGCAAACGCAAATTCATTTACACTATAAATTCACTCGCCAAAACCAACACCAACCATAAGAACCTCCGTTGTCGCCCTGACCTAACCATACAGCAACGTGCCCGCTCCCGTGTACTCCGCACTGAACTCAAAAAACGTCTCGACAATGGAGAGAAGGACCTGTACATTGACTACCATGCTGACTGTATCAAAAGTAAGTCACACATCCCGCAACTCAGCTTTAACCTTCAACCACAACCCTACCTCAACCAATCCACCATCATCCAAGACTAGGCACGCACGCCCCTAACTACCTCAATTCCAACTACTGCTGGCCTTAAATGCAAGCTACTCAATGCAAGAAGCCTTGTAAATAAAATACCTGAATTTTTCCTCCTACTAAATATGGCTAAATTCGACATTATATTTGTCTGTGAAACATGGCTCAATGCATCTCTCCCCGACTCCATTACCACAGTAAGAGACTATCATGTTTACCGATCAGATCGTGAAATTCGTGGAGGAGGTGGTGTTGCTATCTTCTACAAAAAGTCCTTACATCTAAAAAATATCCAAGTTACCCACGAACTTGCTCTTCCTGAGACCATTATCTGTGAACTATCCTTAAATATCACAATTCGATTCTTACTATGTTACAGAGCACCTGATTATGACATTGAACATGTAAAAAAGCTAAATATACTACTAACATGGGCAGCATCCTGCCCATACCCTTTTATCTTTCTCGGTGATTTCAATCTGCCTCATATTGACTGGACCCTAAATGAATGTACAACTGAAACCATACATGCAACCTTTTACAATGCTGTTACAAATCTGGGACTGGAACAACTAGTAACCAACAACACTAGACTAAACAACTGCCTTGATCTCATCTTCTGCAATAGTTTGAATTTAATTTACGGAATACAAACTAAAGAACCCTTTTCCAGCAGTGACCACAATATGATTGACTTTTGTCTCAACATACGTCCACACAAAAACCACCACAATGATGTGATCCCCAATTATAATTTCAAAAAAGGCAACTATGATCTTATAAACAACGATCTCTCATCCCTTGATTGGCAATCTCTATTCACTGGATGCAATACTGTTGAAGACCATTACAACATATTTTTACTTGAAGTCAAAAGAGTCATCAAACTATATGTACCAACAACTACTCCCAAAACAAAACAAAAAAAAAAAAACAGATTGCCCATAACAATAAGGAAACTTCAATCCAAAAAGAGATCACTCTGGCGGAAAAACAAATCTGGTCACGTTGCCAATTTCAAAAGCAGATACAAAATTTATGCCACCAAATAAAGACCAAATGCACCAATTATCACATTAAACAAGAGGAAAACCTCCTAAGCACCAATTCCACCAATGCTTTTTACAATTTTGTAAACAACAAACTAAAAGATTCAAGGTCCATCTCACCCCTGATAGGACCTAATGGTAAAGACTGCAACGACGACACCATTAAAGCCAACATCTTTAACACATTTTTTGGCTCAGTATTTGTAAACAGCAATGGATCATGCCCAGTATTTCCTAGCCGAACCACAGATAACTACAGTGATCTAATACATATCGATTTTACAGAAGACAATGTTGAAAAAGCACTATGC